CTTTGAATTAAAATCCGGCATCTCCGGGGTTCCAGTCAGTCACCCTCTTTTCCTCTGTGTCTCAACCCCGAAGTTGTTCTAAATCGTGTTGTGGATTTACCTTGCCGTACCGCTTTAATCAGACTTCAAGGAATTCTACTTTTTGCAGAAGCAGTATGCAAGGAGATATTGTGCTTATCCTGAACTACATCGTACACTTCGTACAACTCTAATTCGTTGACACCACGACAACCGTCACTATCATTCAACCCCGGAAGATCTAGCGCAACATAATGATAAACCATGCCATTTACACTATGAACTTAAGAAGACAACCGATGATGAATTAGATGACCGTGATTTGGAGACGTTAACGAAAAATGATAATTATGATAGAAATGACGAAGAAAATCGTGCTTGTGCTGCTGATGATGTTCATTATCATCATGATAATGAAAATGACGTGATTGGGAAGCTGACGATGATGATCTTAATAATGCTGATTATGATTACTCTATTGCAGGAATAATATATTTGGAAAACGTATTTGGATAACCAAAATTTAAAGCATATTACGCGTGAAACATTGCAACTTATTCTTCCGTCTTTTAGCATTTGAACATCTGATGGTGTGTACGGATTTGTGACTGGGTTCCACTGTTCCATTTTCACAGAATAGAGCTGGTATATAATATCCTTTGCATACTTCGTAAGAGCTTATATGCGCGTTATAATGAGCACATTAGAACTCATTCACAGATTCGCAGATATAATCTAATCGAATCGAAAAATTAACCCGCTAACTCAGAGATCGATCTCCATGGTGGTCAGTAATGGCTGTAATATCTAACTTCTAACGACGCAAACGGGCAATGTGTAGTACTTTCGAGTCTGCTAGGACGAGCATGCGTTTCACTTATGTTTAACTAAGTGATTAAGCGTTTTTCCACACAGCATAAGTTAGAAAATCTGCTGCAATTCAATTTCAGACGTTTTGCTTCAGGATACAAGGTGCTGTTAAGATACGAAGGTTACGGCAGTGAGTCATCCCACGACATCTGGACGAACTTGTGCTCACCGGATATCCATCCAATTGGCTGGGTGGCTGCCCACGGTAAACTGCTCATACCTCCGCGCGCCATTGCCGAAAAGATCAGCGATTGGAAGTCGTTTATGGTGAAACGCCTGATTGGCTGTCGCACGCTGCCCTCCGGATTTCATGAACTCGTAGGTTATCTTGCTTGTGGCTATGGAGTTCACCCATGTGCCGTACAGCTCAAGAATAGTATCCAATGCCGATTTCCTGTTGGCACGATGCTGGAAGCGACCGATCGGTCTCGTATGGATGGCGTGCGACCCGTGGTGGTCAAGGAGGTGGTCGGGCAGCGGCTGCGAGTGGCGTACGTCGACGGGGACAGCTCCAACAACAAGCAGGCGGACACTAACGGCGACGCCGGCGAAGACAACGATTTCTGGTGCAGCGCTTACTCCCAACTGCTCCACCCCGTCGGTTGGGCGATGAGAATAGGCCACGTTCTGCGCTGTTCCCCCGGTAAGCTTGGCACTCTTTTTACGGACCTTTTCTGTGTCGTTTGTTTTCCTTACTTTTGATTTTTAGAGTACAGAAAACAGTGCGCAGACAAACTGAAACAGCAGACTTCGAGTTCGTCGTCTCAGCTGTCATCAACCGCTATAGACTGGAGTCCGTTCAACGAGGTTAACACATATTTCGGTTAAAAATTTGTTGCTTTATTACACCATGTAGTGAAGAAATGTTTCTAAATTTTTGCCAACATTCATGTCAGATGTCGTCCCGGTTGTGGATCATTTTTTTCTAGTTTTCTATTTGTATCTTTAGCCTTCGAATCTCTACCACTTACACTGAAGAAGATGACACAAGCGAAATCTTTATTTAACAAATGAAGATTTCTCTAATCGACCAGTAATCAGCAGTCACATAAGTTCCACTGATAGCAGCAGTAACAGCAGTAAAGTCGTCCCGTGTCTTTGGAGCGCCACTCATCTATGTTTTTCGATTTCTCAGCTACCACTCGACGGTAGCAGTTCCCAGTCGGTGGTTAATAAACTGAATAACGTGTCCAGACCAGGCAGAGCAACGCATTTTATTCTTTGCTTTACATGATAGTGTCTTTCACACGGTTACTCTGGTTTCTCTTATAATATCCGCACTGGGGACATGATCGTGGAGCAAAATTTCCAACATCCATACTTTCGTACTTCTTTCAGTATTACATTAATGAAGTACCTCCCTTTACGTCAGCGATTGTTTTTGTCAGCCATCCGGCATCGCTTGCAGTGCTATTATGTTGAAGACGTGGGCCCCCGTTGATCTGGCGGTTTTTTTCAAGTACCATATCCTTGACAGAACTGATTACCCGTCGGCTTGTTTCCTTCTGCGAGAGATTTTGGCCAGCTGATCACATCGCATTTCGTTTTGTTGGCTCAGGAAGATTTCGTTTTCCACTTCTTTTACGTCCTTTGCATTTCTTAATATTTAATTGCACCTTCTTCAGCGCTTTGGCATGGTGTCTAAGAGGTTATCTTCGAAGTCCAGACGTACCGAGTTCGATTCCGGCGAAAGAGCATTTTTTCGGAACTGCGAATTCCTGTGAGTTAGGAATTTACCAATAACGTGGCTTCAGATCGGTATTTACAGCTAAGAAGTCCTGGATTCGAGTCCCTTCCGAATGACTCGCGTTTCTTCCTTCTGAGTTTGGTAAGTGAGTTCCACTCTGTGAGAAGGAAACAGGAGACTATGCACTATGGTTTACACAAAGCTGCGGTCGATTCTGCATGGCGTATGGCATGGTAATGGAAATCAACGCCCTATCGTTACCTTCATCGAAAGAAGGACATCGGAAATTGCGAATCATGAAAGTATAAGGAAGACCGACATTCCAACGGCTAAAGTGTTTCCTTGCTTTACCTTGCTGTTGCGTAGCAGATTCCATGTATTTTTCTTGAATCAGCTGATTTTCATCTGACTTTGCTGCTTTATTTGTGCTGTTCTGCGGCATCATTCGCAATCAGCACTTTATCTTTAACAATCCAAAGTTATTGACTCGTTGAAATTTTTATTCCTCCTTTCCAGACTCTGCTCTGGATATCTTTTCCTGACAGACCAGCTCATAAAACATTTTGGAAAAATTCTCTCCCTGTGTCTTGCCTTTCTGTCTTGCCTGGGATTCAGAGGGATCTGTCAAACATTATTATGTGTGTCTTCTCCACACGGCGTTAAGCCAGTATTACAAGCTCGATAGTCGATCCGCCAGCGAGCCTTGGCGTTAGAGTTGCCATCTTACGATGCCACTGTTCGATGTGGCCATTTTGCATATTTTCTTTGTTTTTACATTTTGATGGTTTATTTCTTGTTTTTATTACGCGTTTTTATTTTCAACTGTGACTAATTTATGCATGTGAAATTGAATGTTTTGGTTTGAGCAGAAAATAAATTATTCTTCAGCAAATTGCACAAGCTTAAGTGCTGGTTTGACCGTTTTCCTTTATGCTTTTAGCCAAACCATGACACCAGTCATCCAAAAGGTGAACCTTCTGTTTTGGATCTTTTCGATTTTCAAGAAGGCATGAAGTTGGAGGCGGTCGACCCATCAGACCTTGGCCGTATCACTATCGCAACTGTGTGCAAAGTTCTCAAAGATCACTATATGATGATTAAATTCGACGGAACGACGGACTCATTCTGTTACCATCGCACTTCTCCTTTCATCTTCCCTCCTGGGTTTTGTGAGGCAAACAACATCGAGCTTACCCCGCCAAAAGGTAAGTTAGTTTTATCGTTCAGCACTTTGTGCGCTATGTGACTGTTATAAGAAATATTGCGCACTTTATTTTTAACATCCTTGTACTAATAACAGTCAGTACTGAAAACATACGCTTACAAAATGCTATAACTTTTGTTGATTTTTCATTATTGATTCGCTTCTGCGAAGTATGAAACTGAAAGTTGCGTATCTTCAAGATATCCTTTGAATGTACGAGACGTACAACTGGCAGTTAAAGAGAAGAAAGCAGCGTTCAAGAAATGGCTTGGAAACAAGGAGCCA